CCCGCCCCACCCCGTGTCTGGTGCACGGCGCGAGCCCCAGCTAGCAATATAGATCCGATTTATTTACAGGGTGCCCGCTCGCCCCCTCCCCGCGCTGCCGGCTATGTACATAAGGCCAAGTGTAAATACGCGAATGCACTTGAATACAGAATTAAAAACCGGTCTTTACACAACATGGGACAGGGCCTGGCACCGCCCGGCCCCACACGGTTACAGCACGCACGACGCACAATGCCCGCTGCACACACAGCGCCCGGATGGGCCGGGCTGGAGCCAGGCTGCCCATCCCAGCCCCCCCAGAGCCCCCACCCGCAGCCCCCGCCATGGCCTGTTCTTTGGCTCCAAGACGCCCCCAAGGGGGGACTGGCCCACAGCCCCCTGGCATGCGGGGGGGGGGGGGGGGTCAGGTGAGTCCTCAAGGGGTCCTGGGGCAGCAAGGGGCACAGCCCCCAGCACTGTCAGTGCCTGCACCCAGCCAGCCCCCTGCCCCCTGCGCGGGCAGCAGGGGCAGGAGCCCAGCACAGGCCCCCGGGGGACAGAGCTGGCACCTTTGGGGCAGTGACACCCACGCCGCTGCCCCGGGGCCTGTGCTCCCCCCTCCGCAGGGCCCCGCCCTGCCCTGCGCTGGCCCCTCAGCACTCGGCCTCCGAGACGGCGAAGAGGGCACTGTCCTGTCTGCCCACCTCGGCCACGGCGGCGGCCAACTGCGCCAGGTTCCCGCTGGGGAAGTGCCGCGCCTCCCACAGGTTCAGGATCATGGCGGTCGGGCTGGCCTTCGAGGCAAAGAAGCTGAGATGGCTGCAGAGGAGAGGGGAGAGGGTGTCAGCCGGGAGCTCCTGCCCGCCCCCACCCGGGGCACCCTCTGCCCTCACGGGCTGGTTGACCAGGGGGGCTGGGCGAGAGGCCTGGCGAGGGGACACTCCCTGCCCCCAGTGTCCAGCCCCCAGTGCCCTGCCCCCGGGATCGCGCCCTGCCCCCGGGATCGCTCCCTGCCCCCAGTGCCCTGCCCCCGGTTCCCTGCCCCCAGGATCGCTCCCTGCCCCCGGTGCCCTGCCCCCAAGATCGCTCCCTGCCCCCAGTGCCCTGCCCCCAGGATCGCTCCATGCCCCCTGTGTCCTGCCCCCAGTGCCCTGCCCCCAGGATCGCTCCCTGCCCCGATTCCCTGCTTCTGGGATCACTCCCTGTGCCTGGTGCCCCGGTGGGGGGACGCTGCTTGTCCCCTGGTGCCCTAGCAGGGAGATGCTCCCTGCCCCCCATGCCCTGGTGCTGGGGACGTTCCCTGCCCCCATACCTGTCCAGGTGGAGTTTCTGGGCCAGCGTTCTCCAGTCAGCACCGCGGGCGCAGGGCGTGTCCAGGCTGCTGATGATCTTCTGGCGGATGAGGAAGGGGATCTTGAAGGCACTGGGGCCCACCAGGGCTGGGCAGCCTGCCTCGCTCTCGGGCACCAGCCAGTCCGAGAAGCTCGTGTCCTAGGGGGGTGACGTTAGGAGTGTGATATAATCTCTCATTGGAAGGTGACAGGGCCAGAAAGAGTTAATTACCTCCCAGACTGACCTGACCCAGGGCCCAGCTTTAGAGACTGGCTAGGAAGATGTGTAAATGAACAGAGCTTTGAAATGCAAGTCTGCATTGTTAGAGATAGAAGGGAGATGTGTGCTCAGGGCTTGTGATGTCAGCAAACAAGTCTTGTCTATTGCTATGGCTTTGATTCAAAGATCAAACAGGGAATATTAACGGTTAGGAAGACACTTGAGGGAAATAGTATTATTGTCTCTTTGAAGGTTGTGGTAACCTGGATCTAAACTGTTTAATGGATAAATGATCCTGTGCTAATTGCCATGATGTTTAGAAGAAGGAAAGTTGAGCCTATTGTTTTCTCAGGCCGAAAGGCTGCTGGAAATGTATAAGAACCCTGGGACACGATCCTGCTTCATCTCAGATCTGCTTTGGGTTTCAAGAGGGGGAAACCTTAAGCCACAAGGATTGAGATCCCCAGTCACTGACTGGAGCCACCCTGAATACGGACATTGGACTATAACCTGTGGGGGGAGGGATAGCTCTGGTTTGAGCATTAGCCTGCTAAACCCGGGGTTGTGAGCTCAATCCCTGAGGGGGCCATTTAGGGATCTGGAGATTTAGTTGGGAATTGGTCCTGCTTTGAGCAGGTGGTTGGACTAGACACCTCCTGAGATTCTATGATTTCTAAAAGAACTTTTGGCAACTACAAACTCATCTCTGCTATGTATCTGAACCTCAAGAATTGAATTCAAGTCTGTCTGTATATTGATCTTTTAACCAACGCCCTATCTCTTTTCTTTTTTTAATAAATTTTAGTTTACTAAACAAGAATTGGCTCTAGCGTGTATTTTGTATAAGATCTAAGCTATAATTGGACCTGGGTGTGTGGCTGATCCTTTGGGATCAGAAGAACCTTTTCTTTTACATGATGAGATCAGATTTTCAGTAACCATCATCATATCTGACGTGTGTGTCTGGATGGAGGCCTGGGCTGGGCATTTTAAGGGAACTGCACAATTTGGACTTTTGAGTAACCAGTGAGGTAACACAGAGGCTGTTTGGGGCTGGTTGGTAAATCTAAGTATTGAAATATCCACCAGCGTTTGGGGTTTGTCTGCCCCGTTCTGTTCGCAGTTCACCCTGATTGAGTGACCTCAGCTGGCTCCCACCGGCAGCATCACAGAGTGGTGAGCCAGGGAGGGGACCCACAGCCCCAAGCGGGAGGGCCCCAGGCCTGGGGGTGGGGCTGGGTGTTCGGAGGGGCTGGCACCCACCTGCGTTGCTGCAGCCCGGCCCTTGGGGAGCTGCTGCCCTCTAGTCTGCTGTGCCCTGTGCCCGGCAGGGGGGGCAATCCAGTGCCATGGCGATGGACCGGGATCCCTGACTCCCCAGCCCTCGGGCAGGTGGCTCCAGGGCCTGGCGCCCGCCTGCAGTGGGCCCCCCACCCCCCTACTGGCTCCTGGGCCTGGCCCCCTCATGGTTCCCGTTCCTCGGGCAGGTGGCTCCGGGCCTGGCACATGCCTCCAGTCAGCCCCCCCGATCCCGGCCCGCTCACCTTGGCGATGTTGAAGTTGATGTTGAAGCTCTGCCCGTCGCCCTCCACCTGCCAGACCCAGATCTTGCAGGCCAGCTGGCAGGTGCTGGGGCTGAGGCGCTCCAGCGTGAAGGTGCAGTGCAGGTAGGGCTGCAGCCCGCTCCACAGGTGGTAGAAGGGGATCTCCTGTGGCGGAGGGAAGCCGAGGGTCACGCCCGCCCGCCCTGGGGCTGCTGCAGGGCTCTCGGGCTTCAGGGGCGGGGCAGGAATCCCCCCAGCCTCCCCGGAAGCACCAGGGACAGCCCTCACCCCGGCCGAGAGCAGGGGCCCGGGGCAGCAGGAGCTGGGGGCAGGGAAGAGCAGGGCGTCCCTGCCAGCCCCTGGGGCTCGGTGCCGGCTCGGCCGTGGCGCTGCCGCAGGGCTCACCCGTCCTGCTGTGGGCAGAGCTGGGCCTCGCCCTGAGCCCTGGCTGGGGTAGGGCGGGCGCAGCAGGCACGGCTGGCTCTCCTACCTGGTAGCTGGCGAGGAGTTTGCTCTTCCACAGCGAGCTGGGCATGTCGTGGATGGAGAGGCGCAGGTTGTGGTAACTGTCCTTGAAGTGCAGGACGCGGGGGGCTCCGATCAGCTGCCCCCCCAGCTGCTTCTCCAGCTGCATCACCTCCTGCCGGGAGATGGGCGCTCAGCCAGGGACAGAGCCCCAGCCTGGGCCAGTCCCCACTCAGCACGGGTCCTGGATCCGGCTGTGCCCAGCGGCCTGCGGGGGGGACAGAGCACCCCTCACCCTCAGGTGCCTCCTCGCTGACCCCCTGCCCTAGGGGCCCCCAGCCTGTCCCTGGGCAGCCCTGGCCCCAGTGAGAGTGGTGGGCTGAGCAAGGCAGCTCTGGGGGCCTCGTGGCACGGGGGGAGCCCGTTGCCTTTCTCTGCAGGGCTCAGCCCAGCCCTCCCAGGGCCCAGCTGGGCACTGACCAGCACGGCCCTGCTGCCGGAGGGGAGAGAGGCACTGGGTCACACGGGAGCTAGAAGAGAGGTCCTGGAGGGCACATCTAGGCTGCTAGGGAAGAGATTAAAGTCCAGGACCTCCCTGGCAGCTATTCTCTGAGATGCTTCCAGTT